AACAGGCTTCGCGATATCTCACGAAACACTGTTACGCTGCGACGCGCCTGGCGCACATATAGCTAGGCCTGCGGCGCTGACACCCGAGACGGGTTTTTAACGATTTAATCGACCATTTGATCATTTTCACCTCATTTTTGTGCAAAAATGACCCATAGCACCTAAACGGTACAAGATAGAGCCAAACGGACGAAATTTTCGCCCATAGGGCTCTACTTTGACGGTTTAACCCTTAGGAAGCCATAAAAAAATATTTGATAAAAATGCATTTCGCGACCTGTACTTTTTGATTTTTTAAAAAGCCAATTTTTGAGCTAGAATGCTCATCTTCGAACTCGATCTGTCTTTTTATGACACAAAACGACCCTGAAAATTTCAGGTAGCTAGCTCAATTTGTTCTCGAGTTATCGTGCGGACAGACAAACACACAAACAAACAAACAGAATGAAACTTTTTCGGTCAGTGGAGTAATGGGCTTCGCTCATTGCTCAGCCAAATAGGCTTTGCTATCACTCAGCCAATAGGGTATTTCGGGCAAGCGGAGCGGCGGAAACGGAACCGGACAGTTCACCGGTGGTTGCATCTCTGCTGCTGATGCGCGGGGGAGAGGGGGAGGCGGCGGGGCGGCGCAGAGTCTACTGGGCATGCGCAGTTCGCAGGCTGAGACGGATCCAGCAGCCGCTCGGCCGTTCCGTTTCCGCTGCTTCGCTTACCCGAAATACCCTATTAACGCTGCATAATGATACTTTCTAGCTAAATGTACGCCAGACCATGTCTCGCGTAACAGGCTTCGCGATATCTCACGAAACACTGTTACGCTGCGACGCGCCTGGCGCACATATAGCTAGGCCTGCGGCGCTGACACCCGACACGGGGTAATAGTAGTGTATATACAATTTTTCGAAATGAAGTCTTTTTAACGATTTAATTGACCATTTCATCATTTTTACCTCATTTTTGTCAAGAAATGCCCCCTAGCACCTAAACGGTACAAGAAAGAGCCAAATAGACGAAATTTTTGCCCATAGGGCTCTACTTTGACGGTTTACCTCTTAGGAACCCATAATAAAATATATGATAAAAATACATTTTGCGACCCGTAGTTTTTGATTTTTTTAAAAGCCAATTTTTGAGCTAGAATGCTCATCTTCGAACTCGATCTGTCTTTTTATGACACAAAACGACCCTGAAAATTTCAGGTTGCTAGCTCAAT